GGTGGTGAATTCAGGACCTCCTGACTTCTGTCACCTTAACGACTGCAGTCCCAGCCCCTCTCTGTACTGGGGTGGTGAACCTGGTGTGACTGGCAGACGCTGTACAGAAGAGGGCTCAGTTTCCCCCCCCCAGGCGTCTGGATGACCACACGTATGTGTGTGGCTATAGGACTTCACATCAGCTGGGGTTTTTTCTTGCAGTTGGAAACCTGGTCAACGTGCTTATTGCATCATTGATCCTGACGAGTCCCTGTGCACCTCCAGCCAGCAGAAAGGAAATTCCTAAGTGTGCAAGTGATTTTGCAAGTCTTGTTTCGATTTTTTTTTAAAAAGATAGTCACACCGTTGAAGAATAATTCCATATTCCTGTGTGCTGAACTGAGCTACTGTACATGTGCCGACTCAACTCCCCTCCCCCGTTTAGATTAGTTTTTTTTTTAGATGAGACCAACACAAAAAGCTGTTGTATCCCTTTTTACTGTTTTTTGTTCTTCTCCACAATGACAGTATTGCTGTGAGTTTGAAGGTAGTGTTACATTAGTGAAGGGAGGTACTGTGGAATCCTGTTGAGCAGGTGTTAATGTTTGTACTGTAAAGATGATTCTCTTTGTACTCTGTATATTTTAAATGACAAGTATCTTTATTCTTTACATGGTTTGCTGGCTGTTTATTATATGACATTATTCTGTTGGAACTGTGTAATGTTAAAAGTAGCTGTTCAGCAGTGCTTTTTTCTTTCCAAAGTGACCACTTATTTTGAAAAGCTCTAAGAGAAATACTGAAATACTGTCCTGTACTACTTAATAGATTTCTTTTCTTACGCTGTATCATTCAGAAATCCATTAAAAATAATATTTACATGTGTTACGTCTCAGAAATTGATTTCTGTGTTCAGTTTAATTCACTGCCTCACAAAGTAGCCTGGAGCAGTAATCTCTGACTGGTAGTTGCATTTGTGTCCTGCACTGAACTGCACCAACACCTCCACTCCAGAGACACACTGACTTTGTCCTGCAGAACAGGGACTGTTTGGCGGTGACCAGTGGGTTTTACAGAAGAGTGTGCGAGACCTCATTCTTCCTGGGCAGTATGAGCATCACTGTCGTATTCAAATTGGGCACATATGCAATGTGTCACTAGCAAATCCAAATGATAAAACTGTTACTCCTACAGTTGAACAGGCATAGTCATTCTTTTCTACAGGTTCCCATTCACTGGGTGCTTAAAAGACATTTCAGACCAGCCCAGTTTGTCCTGAGACAGTAGTACAATGGTGTACTTATAAAAAAAAAAGCTCCAGTTTATTTTGTTAATTTTAATTCATTTTTTTAGATTTCATTTCAAAATGAAATCTCAGAGCACCACTTATGGGAGTTATTTTTTTAATTGGTAAAATGGGAAACAAAATGTTGCTGTGGACACCTATGTGAACATTTTATCGCAGACACACAGATATAGATGAAGCCCGATTGTGTAGGTGGTAACGTTTTTTTATACAAAAAGCAGAGACTCACCGTGAATCAAGAAATGGGAAATATACACTCCTGTGCCTCTCAAGATCACTAACAGCCAGTGCTGTACTCTTGTAGTCCAGATAGATACAGGACAGAGGTTTTCTTGTATAACTAATTCCTCAGTGGCCACAAGCCTGGAAACTATGATCACTTTAGACAGGTTATGCTATGAAAATAAAATTCAGACCAAATCATTAACAGAGGATGGCGGAAGAAAACCCAGAAAGCCTGGGTCTGCAGTGAAGTCCAGGATGGCACTGGCTGGTATTAAGGAGCTGTCGCCAGCACTTCACCATCCATCCATGGGGCTGTTAAACCAGAGAAGGTCTGGCAGCTGACAGTGCTGCAGCGCCCAGGGTGCCCAGCCTGCTGTGGCATCACTACATCCCACTGGGAATGACCCACTGGGACGCAAAGAGCACGGTTCCCAAGTCCAGATACCGTGAAACGTCCGTCCTTGCTGGGTCGCGTGTTTCGCGAACTGCAGCCCAGGTCCCCCCGGCTGTGGGCCTCACTTCCTCCTGTGTTCAGCGTCCCTGCTGTGCTCCCTGCCTCTGTCCGGCCTGTCCCTTTCTCTGTCCGCAGTCTCCGACCGGTCCCTGCTGTGTCCGCCAGATTTCCACTGCCTGTGGTCCCTCCTGTCCCTCTCCCTGTCTCGGTCTCTCGCCCGTTCCCTCGCGGTGCCGTCGTCGTGCCTGCCTCTCCTCCACGCCTCGTCCTCCCTCTCCTCGTCCCGGGCGCGCCTGGGCTCGCCATCCCTCTCTCGGCCTCCTGCTCGGCCCTCGTCCCGCCTCTCCCTGCCCACGCCCCCCGCCTGGTCTCCGTGGAGCCCCGCGTCCTCTCGGTGGTCCCTGTCCGGCCTGGTCCTTCTCCCTTCTTCTCTGGGCCTGTCCTCCGGCGCCTCCTGGTGGCTATATTTTTCATAGCCAGGGTCCTCCTCCTCTCTTTTCACCCTCGCTGACATCACCAGGGCTGGAGGAGGGGTCTGGGCACTGCAGCTGCGGGCATGACGCCTCTCTTCCTTAACTTTCTTCTTCTCCTTCTTCTCTTTCTTCTTCTTCTTCTTTTCTGCAAAGCAGGGATGGAGAGAAACAAGCCAGCACTGCGTTAGCTTCCACTCACACAAGTGATGGGGGTGTGCGCTGTTGGCACACCGAACAGATACAGTGACCTCGGACCAAGATGCACTGCAGAAAACGGGACGCGTTCTTAATGAAACAAAGGGCTGTTTTTTGAGCCACAGTTTTGAGACGTTGTTGTTCCATAGATTACTTTTAGAGCACATAACAAGACAGGCCCCCCTCTCTTCAGGACTCCTTCCTGGCCCTGCTGTGCTCCTCACAGGCAGAAAGCCTTCCTGCTCACCTT